CAGATAGGACGAAGAATTCAAGGTTGCAGGATGCTCGACAATTGCAGAAAGCTCTAGTGCGATGGAATGCGATAGTGAAGAAAAGGGAAAAATTTTCCTAAGTATGGATATTTATAAGGGCAAAAAGTGAAAGGGAGAGAGTGCTGACCGTCGGATCGTAAGTAATGAAGGGCTGCGACCGGGGGACCAGCGAACAGGCGTGTGTCCCAAACCGTAGGATTAAAGTAGGAAATCCAACGGCAGGGAAAAAGAGGTGCGCAAGAGTGGGAGCAAGATTCGAGGTAACACAGGTCACGAGGCAATGATGAGCCCTGACAGACGAAAGGACGCGTCTGAAAAGGCGGACAAGGGGTCAAATTCGAAATTCGAAATTGCAAAGAGCGGTTATGGAGAAAAGTGGTCAAACAAAGGTAGAAAATGCGTCAGGTGGTCGAAACCAAAGAAGCAGAGCCTCAACAATACAGAAAAGGCCTACTCTTAGATCGAGTCATTCAGACTCGACCAGAGTGGGGGGACTAGATGATATGGGATATTATATACTAGACTGGTTTGTCGGGTTAGTCGAATAAAATAGATCAGCGAAGGAAAGAAGGTAGCCGACGAGGGAGAGCAGGCTCAGTAGCATCGGATAAGCACCGCCTGCTCGAGGAGATAGTCGAGGAAACACGGTTAAATGAGTGTGGTCGTAAGATCGACCACCCCATACCTGAGGAACAACTCGATGCTCGTTGAAGATTCGGTCGAACATCAAGATAAATAGGAGAGCCTCCAGCACGTGAGGAAGAGACACGCGGCGCTTTATGAGTGGCTCGCGGCTATAACTAACTCTGAGATTCTCTGACAGATTCGACGCGTTCACTGACATTAGAGATAGTGGGGGCGCACCGTTGTACGGGCGAGCAGGAGGACAACTGACAAGACTCGTCTAAGTCGCGCGTGTAGAACAGGTAGCTCGTCCCTATAAATAGGGACGAGGATCCTTATTTTTTAGACACAATCTCTCATACTCTTACATATTTCCACACACTTATATTATCTCTCAAGATCTGACTTGAGCGTTGGTGGCTCTTCACCGGAAAACATCTCCGGTGTGGGAGTTTTGTGCAGGTTCCGCGTTCAACCGGCGAGGAGAACGAGCTTGAGGCGGTTTCCAGCCGGTCGGGGTACGAGACTAGTATTATAGAGATAATAATAATTAAATATACTTAATCTAATAACTGTATATATTACACATATACATAGGTAAAAAAATCAAAAGTTTGGGGGACCCTGCCCCCCCCCCCCCCCCCCTGGACAGTATGTCCGTCTGCCTCTGAATTAAATGTAATGAAAATCAATGCAATTAATCGCAAAATCACGATGTTTGATTAAATTGATGGGATTAATCTTATGTGAAAACCGTTTTATCCCAAAAATATTCATATTGAATAATCGAGAATCAAATAGAGTAGCGAAAGCGTACCTGATAGATTCATCTTGATTAATTGGGTTCGAACCAGAATTTGGTTTGGAATTTACAGAACTTCATAAAGGTCGTGAACCTTATCCTCTTTTACGATGTAATGAAGGGAAAGTTTCAAAAGTAGTCCCACAGCTATCGGGTTTTCAACTTTTGGTCCAAATGGAATGGTGTTTCCCAAAACCTGTACACTAACTTTTAATATCAATCAAAGGCAAGACAATTGTGGTCGGAGCTGCCTTTTTCGGCCTGGAGAAGACACGTCGTGCGGACGTGTCTTAACATTAGTACATCTGACTGATGAATTAAAAGCGTGGTCGATTACATGGCCACTTAAATCCTGCATAGTAGATGGCAAGATACAAAAAGGGGGAATTTTCCCTAAATCTACAGAACATTTTATACGCACGGAAAAAATTTATTCTTGGGCGAGATAAATGTCACGCACGATATGTCTTTTGTGAAGGGAAATGCTGATTGTCATTGTGGTCGTAGGGCTGTGATATGGACCTCGTGTACGAACAAGAACCTTGGCTGGCGCTTCCATTATTGCTTGAAGAACGAGGTAAGTTTCATTTTATTTTATTTTATTTTATTGTGAATCGAATGATTCTTCAGTTTGTGATTTTTTGT